CATCTTCTAGGCATGATTTATTTTTGATTTTGACTTGAATATTTATATATAAGTTGTCCACGAGTCCAATTGTAACCAGTTTGTCTCTTGAATTATTTGATTTTGACTTGAATATATCAATGAAAGTTCTTTTTGCGACACCATTGAACTATAGGTTGATGTTCTTTAGGTTTAGGTTTAGTGATACTTATTTTTTTTAGTCAAACAGGTTTAGTGAATTTTTTTGTTTGTTTGGGTCAAAAGGTTTAGTGAAATTAAAAGAGTAAAACAAAAGGAAAAATTAAAACTACACTAACTCTTTTGTGCTTTGTTCTTTATTCTCTTATTAATTATTTCTTTAATCCTTTCCTTCTTTTGTTTTAGTGGGTTACCTTTAGATGATGAGATGGAAAATGAGATACCACTGAATCAAAATAACTTGAAATGAATCTTCTAATGTTTGTTTTCTGGGATTAGTCATTTGATTGCTCAAACTTTGATCATTTTATGGTTAATGAAAATGGATATATGTTCTATTTAGGTAGCAAGATTGTATAAATCTTATTATTATATTTATTGTTAGGTTGAGCAGATTCATGTTGTTTGTTACAGCACAACCACCGGAACTTTGAAAAAATATAATTTTTATTTGTCCAAAAACTTTCTATCTTCTTGTTTACTCTCATTTGTATTCAAGATTCTGTTAGTGATATATCAGAAGAATCTGCTTAATGATGGTAAATTATAATTCTCTTTCAGGGGTCAAGCAGAGAAAGAGTTTAAAGTTGAGGTAGAAGCAATTGGGAAAGTAAGACATAAGAACTTGGTTGGTCTAATGGGATATTGTGCAGACAGTGCTCAAAGGTTGCCAAAACAAACAAACTCTTAATGAATTAAGTAAACTCTAATTTGTAATAATCTAACAAAATTTAGATTTTCTTTGTTTCTTGATTAGGATGCTTGTGTACGAATATATTGACAATGGAAACTTGGAGCAGTGGTTACACGGTGAAGTAGGTCCGGTTAGTCCTCTTACGTGGGATATCCGAATGAAGATTGCTATTGGAACAGCAAAAGGGTAAAC